GCTGAACGGTGAGTAAAGGAGCCTTTTGGAACGCATTAAACGATGTTTAATGCGTTCCAATGGCTTTCCCTGTCCCGTTCAGCGATGTTTCGCTATAGCGAAGGTTAATCCGGAAGGGATTAACCTCGCTATGCGAGGCGCCACAGTATGAAAATAAAGATTTACTTGGTTAAATATAAGACAGACAACTGGACTAAGGTTTGGATAAAAAAGAATGTAGGGCAATCACTGAATTCGAAGAAATTATTGGGAAAAGTGAAGAGATGAAAGATCAATACCAAAGAAAAGGGATAATGAGTGTAAGATGTAAGATGTTACTTGAGGATGAATATAAAGCAACACCATTAAAACAGGTATGGCAGGAGTCTTTAACAAAGAAATTAAGGAAGTAATTTGGAATGCGATAAGGGGGAGAAGAATAATAAAAAACATGTCAGTGAAAGTAAAGGAAATTTGCTATAAAGTTATATGGAGATGGTACTTAACACTAGCAAAACTGCATATGATGAATAAAAAGGTATCACCTCTATGCTGGAGATGTAAGAAACTGGTGACATGTGAAGAAAAAAGGAATGGAAATCAGTAGTAAGATAAAGGAAATTATAGGGATATAGAAAAATGTCCAAGGATAGCTTTGCTAAACTTAGTTAGAAACTGCCAAATAGAAAAAGGGGTAAATGAACTGATTATAATTATGGTGAGAGCTGCAAGATTAATAATGGCAAAGAACTGGAAAAATAACAAGCAGTTGAGTTTAGAAGAATGGTATGATGGAATGTGGAATTTAGCCATCAATGACAAACTGACATGTGAACTGAAAGTTAGTAAAGGGCAGTTGAAAAAGAATGTTTTTAGTCAAATTTGGAACAAATTTATAGAACATATATTTTTAAAACATAAAGGATATACCCCACCAGAAGAATCAATACAGTTTTGGAAGGAGACAGGATGCACAAGTTAAAACAAGAAACGAAATTCTGAAAACAGTTATAAGTACATGTAGTAAATGTATTATTATATAAACCTGAGGATGCAGCCATCTGTGGTATCTGGAGAACATTTGGTCCGCCAGATGTTAGAGACGAAAACTCCTACCCAGATCTTGGGCTGTGACTCCTTCACAATTGGATATGCTATTTAGGGTTTATGGGAATTGCAGCCAAAGAACATCTGGAAGGCCCCATCTTCTTCAACATTGTTTGATACTATTTGTCACAGTTCAATTGCTTTGTTTTGATAAAAGAAAGAAAATATTTTTCAATTGTCAGGGTCTTTGAAAAAGCCAACATGGTCAATTTTTATCAAGTAATTTTTGCTGTGGCTTAATTTTCATACATCCTTTGTTCATTCTTTAGAAACGGAATCAGAAATGGAGGTCAGTTGAACCAGCGGTAAAACCGTCAACTTCAGAACAGCTGCACAGGGTTGATGCAGAGCAGAATTCGAATGAGAAAGAGAAGTAATAAGACAGTTCATTTGAATTTTTTTCAATTACGGGAAATGAGTTTTGAGAAGTCATATTTCTGAGGACAGTAGTAAATCCCCCATAATTGAAGACCGATTTAAATATAGTGGCTTAAATATATAGGGAAGGACAATTGTATAAGCATCCCCCCACTGCTCCGGGAGCTCTCAATGCATGCCTGCTCTCATGCTGCTGGCAAGGTTGGTCTCACAACCGATTGTGGGATTGATTGTGCCACAGTGGCCCTGCTAGAGTAGAGAACATTTACACAGTTACCAAATATAAGACAGGCTATTATAGATCACTAAATCCTATGGTCTTGCTGAAATAAACACTATTGTATTATTTACGAGAACTGATAGGAAATTCATGTTGGGGGAAAAACCTATGGGATATAGAAGAAATCCATCACAGACCTTACTTTTTAATTTCAATAATATTTCTTTCAGCTATAATTTAACTTTGCTTGTGCTAACTTTTACAAATGAGTTCAACAACAGGAGTATGGACTAACTAATGTTCTCTTATTTGCTTTTCAGGGTTAGTTGTGTACCAGTACAGATAATGAACTCATTACCTACTATGCTGGTTAGGAAATGCAGCAGTTTACTTGATCCAGGTTTGCAATGCAGACTCTGCTTGAAGAGTTTCTGCATTGGCCAGGTCACAAGATTCTTGCCATGTGAACACAAGGTAAATAAAAAATGGTATCTGATTAAAGAGCTGCCTAGCATTATCTCCTCCTCCAATCCAGTTTGCACTGATTCAGTGGTGCTCTTCAGCAGAAGCAGTTCACACTTTCTATTGACTCAAGCTGTAAAAATATAAAACAATTGTATATGCCTCTAACATTTAGTCTAAAAATTGACAGCTGCTGTAGCACCTCTTTTTGTTGTCTTTTTGCATTCAGGAACTGTTGTGCTATGGTATCTTGAGACATTTGGTCAGTTGCACAGAGGAAGATATGCTCAACTAGCTTGTAAACATTTCCCCAGGGTCAAAATATTCCTTGTTAGCCTTGTGTGTAGCCTGGCATGATACTTTTTGATTGTTTCCATTTATAGAATCTGAGTTTCCATGCATAAAATGATTTGTTAACTGCAATGCGATACTGTACCAGTCACATGTGCTCCTTGTACATATGGCACATGATATTTCCACATATGCATATGATGTCCAAAACCCTGTTGTTTCATGTAGTAAACAACATTACAGGCCCAATGAAGCAATGAGGACTGGGTGAGTTAAATCCTCCGTTAAGTTCTATTGTTTCAAATGGGCTTACTTTAATTGTGACCTACTTTAATATAGTCACAGCTACAGTAGGCCTATTCGAATCAGTGCGGTTTACGGAGAAGATGGCTTACTAAATCCCTACAGATTCAATAGGTCTGCTCTAGTTGTGACTTACTATGCAAAGTAACAGGATTTCAGGCATTATTTCCAAAGATGTTGCTCTCATTTTTCAGATTTGCATGAAGGTTACCGTGTTTCACATCTGTTAAGAAACTAGCTGTAGACCACACACTTGAGATGCAGTGGTTTACAGTCACTCCTAGGCATCCTCAGTTGAAGGACCTTGAGAGAGCAGAGCCCTAGTAGCCCGCTGCCAGAGCATGCAGCGCTTGACTATGCAGACCAATTGTCCAACTGAGTAGAAGGCATCTGATTCAGTGTTACATGGTTCATTGTTTAATGCTGGCCGGATTTTAATCAGTTTGTTACTGGAAATTATATTTCCCATTACTTTATACCCCCTTCCATGTTAGAATGTCCACCAAGACCATCTGGTCCAACCCACCATTTTTTCTGTGTAGCAGAGTTACTGCTTCCTGTTTCTTCCTCTTGTTTGGAACATAGACAGTTAATGTTAAAAACATTAGGGCTTTGTAGTGCTCATGCCTTAGTTACATCCCATTTGGATCACTGTAACACTACTCTATGTGGGGTTGCCTTTGAAGACGTCTCAGAAACTTCAGCTGGTGGAAAACTCTGCAGCCAGACTACTGACTGGGGTTAGCTACAGGGAGCATATAAGTACAGTGGTGCGTTGCTTAACGGGCACCTCGTTTAACGACGAATCCGCATAGCGATTAAGTTTTTGCAGTCGCTTTTGCGACCGCATTGCAATGATTTAGATAGGAAAAAATCACTTTGCGATGATTGGTAAGCTGTTTCGCTTACCGATTTTCGCATAGCAGTGTTTTCCTAACAGCTGATGGGCGGTTCCAAAATGGCCGCCGGGTAAAAAAATATGGCCGCCCGCTGTGTTTTCGCACCGATTCCTTGCTTACCGGGCAGCAAAAATGGCGGCCGTATGGAGGATTTTCACATAACGGTGAGTTTTTTGCCCATAGGAACGCATTAAACGGGTTTTAATGCATTCCTATAGGCTATTTTATTTTGCATAGTGACGAATCCACACAGCGATTTTTCCGGAACGGATTATCGTCGCTATGCAGGGCACCACTGTTACAAGAACTCCACTGGCTACCAGTCTGTTTCCAGGCCCAATTCAAAGTGCTGGTCATTACCTATAAAGCCCTATATAGCTTGGGTCCAGGCTACTTGAAGCACCATATCTCCCTATATGTGCCTTCTCGGTGATTTAAGATGAGCAGAGAAAACCCTCGTCTCGGTCCCATTGCCAGCACAAGCACAGCTGATGGGGACACTGGGGGGAGGGCCTTCTCTGTGGCACCTCCTAGGGTGGAACACTCTCCCTTGGGAGATCAGGATGGCCCCTTCCCTGTTACCCTTCTGAAAAAAGCTTAAGACCCATCTCTTCAAGCAGGCTTTTAATGATTACAACTGAATCCCTGAACCCTATTTCAGGAAATAATTTTAATCTTTTCTATGTCTTAATGTTTTAATCTTTTAATGTAATTTTTAAAACATATATTGTTTAATTTATCTTTTAATATTTCACTTACTGTGTTTTTAAATTGTGTGAATTTTTTAATGTTGTGAGCCACTTTGGGTCCCTTGTTGGGAGAAATGCGACATGGAAATAAAATTAATAATAATAATAGCTTGTAAGACAAAAGATCTTATGAACACCATCATCAATATTTGGAAAGCATCACCTCAGTCAATAAATTTATTTAAGAACTTCATGACTATTTAAGTGTATTGATTTGCAGCAGTTAGTTCCATTTGAGCTAATGCATTTTCCACAGTAAATTAGCCTGTGTAGGCTTAATTCTCCTGAGATAAGTAGATCTGCATCAGTATTATTCCAGTGAGACCATGTATGTTATGCTTGATTTTCTCTAATGGGGGAGGTGAATCCTGCCTCATTACAAGTAATGTGTTGGTGCTCTTGCTCATAAGAATTGATTAAAATTGTATTCAGTTGGGAAACAAATGTCTTTTGATGAAAATTTACCAAGGTACAGTCCCTTATGCGTGTGTTTTCTCAGTTCCACAGGAATTGCATTGACCACTGGTTGCACAAGGAAAATGCATGCCCTATTGATGGACAAATGGTGTATAATCCATTAACCTGGGAGATGGTACCAAGAAAAGACAAAGCAAATTTGTTAGCACCTAAAGCAAAGAACAGTCCTACAAAGCAGACTGAGCAGCAGCTTTTTATACCGGGGACAGGATTGCTTGCCAAGCAAATGAAGCCTGGCCATATTGCTGAAAAGACACAAACTAGCCCTCAAGGATACCATAACAAGAACGTTCCCTCAGAGTGTGAGCAGAATTTAACACTGAATGGCATCAGTTACACTTCTGCTGGAGACTCTGTCCCTAATCTGTACAGCACTCAGAAGGCTAGAAGTTTGAAGTTTTCTAGGTATGTTAAAGGTTTGGTCCTTATTCCAAAACCAGATGCTAATGTGTTTATGCAGAAATCAGTTGGCACTGGCTTGAGAGGTTTATCTGTATATGGAAATACAGGCTAAAATATATCATACATTTGCTTGGGGTCAGGATGCAAGCTTTGGTTCAGCAGGTCCAGACAAATGATGGATGCTTTTCAACATTTAAAAGTCTCAACTAGCAGAACCTTTTAATCTTAGTGTATCAACTGTAATTATTTTGGTGACATGATGACATTTATTTCCATTAATATATAAATTTGTAAGGGTAAAAAAACCTGATTATAATTTATGATCATTGAGACTGTTAAACTGTTGTCCTGGTTCTAATTATGCCGTTTATAACTCCTAAACTAGGTACAGGAATGATTGCTGCTTACGTATATAGGTCTGCAGCCTGACTCAGCAACTAACATAGTTTATGTCTACTCCTTTTTTTTCTTTTCAATTTTGAAATTCCACACAGAAGCTGTTCAGAAATGAATAACAGAGCTGGCTGAATCCTCCTCTCCAAAAGCAGTATTTGTAAAAATAAAAAAAAAATAAAAATGGTCTGCAGTGTTGAATTGGTCATTTCCTTGTACCAAGTTTCAATCAAAAGGCACACTGTGGATAAAAGAACTTAAAAAAATCTACCGTGCTTGAGTAAGCATGTTTGAAGCAAAGATTCAGAGCCTGTAATAACCTGTAACTGCATAATAGAAAATACTTGAGCTGTAATTTTTATCCTTTTACCTTGAATTGCGAAATATGATGTTCTTGTGCAAACATGTAGGTATGATGCAAGAGAGGAACTGTGCCAGAACATTCTTGGAACTCAAGCTTGGCATTTATGATCTTGCTGTATTGGTTGTCACGTTGCTACTCAGTTATTGCATAATCATTTAAAACAAATGAATTTCATTTGCATATCTAATTTTGCCGTATTTATACTGGTAAATGCAGGCCCTGAAAAAATAGAAAGCTAGTTGATAACATCTTTATTATTCATAGAAACAAAGTAAAATAAATGAAAACCCTAATTTTCTGCAAAAGGAAGTTGCTCTTTTAATTTACAATGGCCAAAATCCTATTGTTTCAGTAAAGTGTACTAGAGTAAGCTCTGTATCAAATGGGGGATTTAGTGAGTCAGTGCCTTGGTAAATTCTCCTAATGGAATACAATGAAGAACTTCTAGGGTTCTTTATCACTGTCAGTAGTGGATTGTCCGGAAATCCTAGCGAGTATCTTATTGCTCATTCCAGGATGTTTAGGTTGAGAGCTGATAAAAATAGATGCCAGTATTTGAGAAGGCTGGTACCTGTATTTTATTCCAGCTTTATCATGATTTCCCAGATTTCTTTCTGTTGCAAAAGCTATTGGATTATTACATACAAATTCTTATTTCACTGTTATTAATTCAGCTCTAAACTGTCCTGTTCATTGACTAAGCAGTGATTTTTGCCTTTTTAAATTAAGTATCTACATGTCATCCTGCATGGCAGGTACCACTAACATCTGGAGTGGTTTCAAACACAAGAGTTAGAATTGTAGTTAGAAACTAGGATATAGTTATGGTTAGCTCAACACTTTTGCTGCACATTTGTGAGCTTCCCTTCCTTTCTTACTGAGGGGACTTTGCCATTTTCAAGCCAAAATGTTTCAGTTTGCAAGAACAATTATAGGCTTCTTCTCTGTTATAGGCCACCATTTTAGCAATGCTGTAGTGCCTCATTTTCTTTTACATCTACTTGGTATTGACTGTAGAGTTCACATGAAATATTCAGAGCAAGATGGATGCAAAAGTGAACACCTTTTAAAAAGCATTTCAGTGCTCTATAGAAATTCCTTCAGCCCCACCATGTACCAAATTGTCACTAACAATTTCTTTAAAGCCGGGCTGGGTGGGGGGGAGGGATAGATTTATTTACTGTTTAGAGTCAGTTCACAATGTCATGTTCCTGGATTATGTGCAGTGATACAACTGCATGGAGAAATGTTAGCATGAACTGTGTTGAACACGTCAACAGTTTTCTGTGATGGTAATACTAAAATTAAGTCAGGTCACAGAAATGGTTGCCAGCACCTACAGGTTGAACGAGTGATAATTCCACCATTATCAAATACTATATTTGGCTAATTTTCAGGAAGTTACTTTTTTTGAAGAAAAAAACAACTTATACTTTCCTATTCCTGAATTCCAGCTACCAGCTTTTCTTTTGTAGTATCAAAGAGTAAATGACAACACAGAGATCTGTATACAGCTTCCTGTGATTAAAAAACCAAACCCTAAGGCAGGATAGGTAGTATATTTGAACAAATTAGATTTACTTTCCATGAGAAGAATCCATTGCTAATTAAAGTACAAGATGCATGCTTACCCAATTTGGATATTTTAATCAATAAAATTATTCAAGGATCACAAAAGCCAAGAGGAAGTTTTTAAAATTATTTTATTTCATGAACTCTTCCAACATCTTACAAATTTGAGAAGCACTATAGCACTAGATCCATGAGTACCATAGTACATGCACAAACATGAAAAGCCACCCGTGACAGAATAGAAAAACAATGTAGGCACACTTTTTAAAAGGGTCTCAGCACTTTTGAAAATAATATCGTTGGGATGAAGATCAAACGGAATTCAAACTGTGTGGCAGTGGAGTGCTTGTTCTTCATATTTACAGTTGAAATCTAGTAACAAGTAAACAGTGCAGTCTTAGGAATACTCTTAGGCTGAAGCTGACCTTTTTGGGAGGCATGTGTGTTCCTGGATGCTGAAAGCAGCAGCTCTGCAGTATTCCTCACGTTCTTCCCCCTTCACAGCTAGCACTACAAACAATGGTGGTTCGTGCCTGTTGGAGGAGTTTCTACACCTTACATACGTGTGTGGATTGCTAATGCTAAACAGCAATGATGTACAAGAAAGCCAACGCCTTCTTACTTCTGGGTATTAATTGGTCATGCAGGCTGGCCGATGTATAATTCAGAACAGTTATCTATAGCTGGATTGCTACCTCTGGCCGCAAAACCTGTGGAGGTGGCTGCAGCTGCAGCGCTAGCACCCTGACAGGCAGTGGGCCAGGATCCGGGGCAGCTGGCACTGGTGGCAACAGGCCAGGCCAAGCTATAGGTAGTGGCGGAGGTTGAGCACAACTGGAGGCAGATCTATGCTTGGAATTCCCTCTTTTGTTGCCACTTCTGCCACCGCCTGCTGGGTTTTGGTTTGGTTTTTTGGGAAGGTTGGGTACTTGGGTTCAAAAAGGTTCACCATGACTGCTATAGACATCTACCTTTCTACCAGGTCAGCTCCACTGAAATAAGACGGGCTTTATTCCAAGTAGGTGTGTATAATAGGACTGCACTGACACCATGGACAGAATAAAAAGATTTCTTCAATGAGCTGCTAACATGTAAAAATACCCTTTTTAAAAACAAGGATTCTGCGTTTGCCAAACTACAATAAACTGCTGTGCTTTAAAATTGTAGAACAGTGAATCACCAAGTGAAAAAAACATACAAATATTTGACAGATCTTTCATCTGCAAAATCCTGTTCAAGTTTCAGTTGGTAAAATTGATCGATATAAAATTTCAAAATGTTATGAACCTTAGGAATTATTTCAGAAATATTCATTATGAAATGATGGATTATAAAGGGGTGGGATGACTTCAGTTGCTCGCCATCATTAATGCTTCAACGTTCCTTAAAAATATAAAAGAGCATATTTTAAATAAACATGTTTTCTGGCCAAAAATTATTTTATAATTCCAAATGTTAGAATGTTTAGCCTGTCTGAACCCAACAAATCTCTTTACATGTCACTCATTAAGGCTGCAATCCCAGCATAAACTTGAATTCACTGGATTGTTCCTGCCCTCACCCCCACCAAGATAATGTTGAAACCATCTTCCGGTGAACATTTTATTCAGACTCCAAGGTCAGTATCAGAGAGCTAGCTTCTACAGATGCAACAATTAAGTGTCATACTTTTTTCTGGAGTGTTCCACTAAGCAGCAGGTGGTGGTACAGGTATTTTTGGAAGAAAACAATAACCAAATCACAAACAAATAACAGAGATATTGCCAACAAAATATGCTTATAATTAAACTTGGATTTGTGGAATATATTACGACAATGAAATTGTTATGAAATGTTTTCAATCCAATGACCAGCAAATAAACTAGCTGGAAACCAGGTCCAGAAACGTGGACCTGTAAAGATGGCAAACAACACATTTATAGCTGCTGCCACCTCAAGAAGATCATGTAAGAAATAGGACATGATCTGAATGCTCATCACATATCAGAGACTGTGCTCACATATATGTATATTCTTGTAGCAGTATTACCATTTCATGCAGATGATTTGGGTCACTTCTTATATAGAAACAATTAGGTATGTGTTTGTATAACCTTATTACTAAGTAATGCAACAATTGTTAGTTGCTTACTTCAACATAAAGCAATTAAAGGCTTATTGCTTTTAATGCATTTTATTTACTATTCTTTTGTCCACCCCTTAATCTTCTGATTAGTCACACAGAATTTTTACAGGTGGAGCAAAATCTATTATTTTACCTACCACAAGCTGATGCGTTTATTTCATAGCAATTTCAGCAACCCTAATCATTCCATGTGTTTGTTTCTAAGCATTTCTGTGTTGAGCATATGAATGCAAAGACCAATAAAGTAGCCTTATGGATGTAGAAAACCAGCATGTCAGAGAGAGAGAGAAAAAAATTACCAATAGCCTTACCATTGCACAGAAAGCCTTCCTTATGAGGAACATTCCTGCTTACCTCCAAGCCCAATATAATCTAGGAAAAACTCAAGAAAGAATCCCAATAATGCCACCCTGCAGAAAGTTCCACCACATTGGGTTCGATCCTGTTCTGCTGGTCGGAGTGCTCCTGAGCACAGCTCCTGCTCAGTATGCTATTCACTGCTGGGGAAAAGGGGAATAGGTTTTTTTGCCAACTGTCCTCTTCTCCTCCAGCCCCGAAATCCAGCCACTAGCCCACAAACACACTGTTTGTGTGAAACACACTGAAAATTCCCTCTGACCCTTTGGGAGAGGAAAATTAGCAACAGTCATATCTTGCTCTATTTGGCCACACAAGACGTTTTGCTAAATGAGGGTTTCTGTAGGAGAGAACTCCAGTTCCATATCTCCAATTGGACTTACATCCTTGCAGAGCATGAAAAGTTGCTTTTCAAAGAAATGAATGCAAAGACAGGCAAAAGCCACCAACACCTCCTCTTAACACTGCTAGTTATGGATGGCTTTAGCCTTCATTATATTCTTAATTCCCTAAATTCTGCTCCCTGGTAAGGATTGCGATATATAGAATATCCATATACTGTACAACCAATAAGGAAGCTTTTGAATATGTTAGCACTGTAGGATCAAAACCAAGAATATGCGATGAATTTCCTATCTCTATGCAAACAATGCTGGCCCATTTTACCCCAAACCCTACAAGAAAATCCCTTCCAGACTAAGTCATGTCTCTTTAATACATGCATATTTCCATTAGATATACTGTGCCACATTTTGACAGGTATGTTCCTGTTCTGACCCAATAAGGGTAAGCCAAGTACAGAAACAGTATTCAACATGAATATTGTCTTTTGCCCTAGTTTCTTCTGTGTTAGGAGGGGTCCAAGAACCTACTTTTGCAAGCCCGAGAGTTTGGAATGATGTTCTGCTTTTTTCTTCCTTGAAAGGAAAGCCCACCATTCTGTGCTACGCCTTTCGAAAAAGGCTGGCCCTGTGAAGGTTTCTGTTTCTGATGTACCCCACAGAACTCCTTTGGGCAAAGCAGCTTCTTGGATCCCAGTTCTAAAATTTTAATAACAGACCTGTTGCTTAAATTGAACATATCATTTTTGCCCAGCAAAACATGGCTATTGCTTCAAAGATTCTGTCCGGCTTTCTAAAGTTAAAGAGTAAATGGAGTTTTTAATAATTATTTGCATGCAATATTCCAACAATGAGACAAATGGCACTCCGCTTTTCTCTCGCCCGCCCCCAGAAAAAGGGGACAAAATCCAATGTTTTACAGCAATTTTTTTGGCTAACAGAAAAAGTGCACTTCTTCCTCAGGGAACTTTAACAGTTTAAATGGCGGCTACATTATGAAGACAAATTCTAAAATTTTACTCAGTTTTACTCAAGTAATCACTTCGCAAAACACAAAAGAAATGTCTGGTTGCTAAGAAGACACTCCCAAATAATGTAATAATCATGTGAAGAGGAATAATATTTCTTATCTCAGCCATTTGGGAGTGATTCTTTCTTTGGTTCATATACCTTTGTGATCGTTCATGTACTTTATTTAAGAGGTTAGATTATCCTTGTTTTACATACTGCAACAGCACTGATTTGTTATGTCAGCGTACCAAACCTATATATGTTGTTTCTGTGTCAAACATACAACTGAATTGAAATGTGGCCTCATTTTTGTGCTTGTTTCAACATAATAGATAGAGCGACAGACAAAGACTCAGGAGGCCTGGGTTCAAATGTCTGCTGGTCAGGGTGGCACTGGTAAATAATATGGTAAATAATAACTGTGTGTCATCAATTCAGTTCTGACTTACAGCAACCCTTTTTAGGGTTTTCCAGGCAAACAATACTGAAACGTGGTTGACCATTCCTTTCTTCTGGAGACACTTCTTGGACTGTGCAGCTTCCCCAAGGCTACACAAACTGTTTCTACTTACAGGAAAGATAGTGGAAAACTGAACCCAACCTCTGGCTCCACAGCCAGATACCTAACTTACTGAGACACCCAAATATCCAGGCACTGGTAAAACCATTCTTTAAATATCTCACTTGCCTTAGAACGCTATTAGGATCACTAGCTCAGATGCAACTTGACAGTGCATAACACACAACAGTCTATTTTTTATGGTCTATTGTGATATTGAAATAAATGTATTTTAGATTGGGCACGGTAGGATCCCTATGTGTATTTACTCAAGATTTAAGCGCCAAATATATTTGGTGGCTCTCTGTGCCCAAAAGAGACATCAAATGACGGCCAATCAATCCAGCATGTATGGCCTCTAAATGACTATGACCGAAGACTGTCGGCCAAATTTCCTAGTGCATGTAGCATGGCCTTTGTTCTACCCAGGATCTTGACTGTTGTACTGGAAACTGGAAATTGGAACCAACATTATTTGATTCTATTAGATTTACTTTGAAAAGACATAATTGTTTTCCAGTTAAAAGTCACAGTGCTATGAAATATTTCTGCATGTTAACTTTCTACAAGAGTAAAACACTTTTCTTAATAAAGACCAGCTTTTCTGCTAGCCAAATATGGATCCACCACTGGCAAAACACATGTGTAAAATGAGATGTTCCTTTACAGATGTTCCTTTCCGCTATACGTTTTCTTGGTTTTCTTCTCATGCAATCATTTATTTTGGTGACTGTTTACAACGCTACAATAAATTCAACCCCAAGGATGGGTTTTGTCCTAGAGGTCAGACCCACGGCTTGCCTACTTCAAGAAGTGCCAACAGGTACTCCCTGACATATTCATCATAGTGCACAAATTAGATCAGGAGACACACAGGCTGTGTACAGACATACGCAATGGGGACAGCAAGCCAGCAAGAGAAGCACGTTTGTCCTCCATGCTTTCTAGAAACAATCTTTTTTTCCCAGGAGGGAGCTCAGAAAGAACCTACAGTGGGGTCTTGACTTAAGAATGGCTTGAGTTAAGAACATTTTGACTTAAGAATCGCTCTCATAGGAAAATATTGACTTGACTTACATACTTAGATTTGAGGTCAGAACTGAAAAAAAAACCAAGTGGGAGGCAGGGAAAGTGCAAAATTTGAACTTTCAGTTAACTGTTGGCCAGTGAAAAGGGTGCCTGCCTGCTTCCTCACTCCTCCCAGCGTTTAGAGAGTGGATTGGGAGACAGTCTTCAGACTGCCTGCTCCTGTACTGCCTGGACTGTATTTTCCCTGCCTTCCCTGAACCTTTCTTGACGTAAGGAAAAAAGAAACAAAATATCCCCCTCCAGTGGTCGAAGGCGGAATAGCAGCTTCCCATTAGTTTCTATGGACGGAAAAGAGCAGATACGGATCAAATGGTTTTCAATGCCTTCCTATGGGAAATGCAGATTTGACCTGAGAACTTTTTGACTTGAGAACCGCCTTCCAATATGGATTAAGTTCTCAAGTCAAGACCCCACTGTATTGTGTTCTGGCTTCACCCTCTTCCCAGCAGAACCCAGTCATACAGACATGCTAATTCTTTCATCCCAGAAAGGATATGCCAACTCCACCTCTGGCTTTCCACAGGAGTTTTACAACTTTTAAAAAAGATTGGGGTGGGGAGGGAGAAAAATGTTCTATGTCAGGGCTTGGGAACCTATGGCTCTCCAAACTGAACACTAAATCCCCATCAGGCCCAATTAGCCCAGCTAACAGTGAGGCATGATGGGTGCTGCAGTTCATCAACATCTGGAGAACCACAGGTTCCAACTTCCAATCAATACCTGTTTTCATTTAAAAAGCCAATCAAAAGCACAGGAGGTGAAGAGTCATACAGATCAGCATCCACACTGCTGACACACCGGTAAATACATAGTTACATGTAATGCAAAGAGAGAACCCAGACTCACTGTATGTGTGTGTGTGGGAGGGGCATACTGTGATCCATGATTTCAGGTGAGTTTGTTTGCCCCCTCAGGCTCTCAACCTGGGCACTCTCGCTTGGAAGCACATCCCCCTGCAATCGGGTGGACTGACATCCAGATAACTGTTTCAGATTAGGAGATCTCATATTCTCTCACAGAGACAGATTAAGACTAAAGAACAGAATACAGATTCCTCACAAGACCAATTCTGTATTACAAAGAAATCTTACCACAGAGAGCCATGATCATGACTTATATGAAGTCACACCATCAATCCCATCAGGCTTGGTACCCTGACCATTGGCCATGGTGGCTGGGGATGATGAAAGTTGTGGTCCAAAACCAAGTTGGGAAGGGCTGGTCTACCCTGACAGGCAGTGACTCTTCATGGTGTGTGTTAGGCAGGGATCTTACCTTGCCTAAGCTGGAGTGGCCTGTTGCCTAAAATGGAGGTCTTCTGCATTCTGATCCATTTTATTATATGTACTGCTGACCCCTTTCCCCTCATTACACCCTTCTGACAGGGTTACTCTCACATTAAGAGACTGACCTATTGACTAGCTTGTTCATGCCAAAACTGACTTTTGGGGTGTAGTTATTTTTATTCAACTCACAGTTATGCCCAAGAGATTTCCAGTGGAACTTTTCATACACAACAGATGACTTTTCAGACAGGTGCCAAAGCTAACAAAAAAGAGGCACATAATTCAACTGCTTAAGAACAATACTTTCGTTTTAAGGCTATGAAATAGTAACAGGGCATTGTTTCCAGAGGAAATATTTTCTCCAAAGCCAAACCTTTGGGAACATTTACAATAATATCTACCGTGGACACTGAAGGCCAAGAGGTGCCCTAGCTGTATTTAATATAAATCTAGTTGTTCTAAAAAGGAGCACAATTTGGCTCAATGCCTACTGAAACAGCCGATGAAGAGACACCTATATGCCTGACATACCACCTGCACAACAAGCATGTGATTTTCTGCTTCCCCTAAAGATTTCACAGAGAACAATATGGTGGAATATTACAAAAGATCTCAAAGAAGAGCATTCCTTTAAGGTGAGAACTTGTATTCTCCATCTTGCTAGTGAGCATGTCATCTTCACCAAACAACATATGGTAAGATGTCCACTATTAGACATGGATTGTAAAGACAAAAACATCTTTTAAAAACTACATTATCCACCATGTACTCCTTTCCCACTGCAACGCAACATTGCATTGCTCATGCTCCTTCCTTCCCAAAGGTCAAATTCTGGACCAAGCAAATAAGGGTACATTTTAGCTCTTCCTAAGTGATACACATGGTCCCCCTCACCCAGCCAGAAGCATCCCAGAATATTTCCTCTTTTTAACAACCTAACACTCTGTTCATACAGCTCATATTGAGAGCAAGGAACACAGCCTGTAATTCCAATCTTTTTGTAGTGTCATGTGTTCTGTTACTTCACCTGATTCTGGTTGTCCCCTATTAAAGTGAACACTGCAAGTTTACAAACGAGAAGTGGGGGAAAGGTAGACCGGACATCACTCCCATCAGAGACCGCTGTATTTTTAATTTATTGGAATGAGTGGCCTCTCTTCTCTCTTCTTCCAGATGTTGTTTTTGCTCTCCCTCTTTGTCAAAGGGGGTCTTCCCCATTTCTTTGGTGGAGGAGGACTGGTCTTCTGGTCTTCCGTTGTGGTTCTCCTCTGAGGCGCCTCTTCTGCGGGCTGTCCAACGACTGGATCGTTCCCTCCCTCTGGCGCATGCTTCACAGTCGGATCCTCTGGGGAGCAAACGGTGGTCCCACTTTCACTGCTGCTCAGATCCAAGTCCTCCAAGTAAAGGACCTTGGAATGCTGCACACTTTTAATGAAGGTCTTCTCCCTCTCCAGCTTCCGACCAGGGTTATGCTCGTTCATGTCCACACCCGAATCCAAACTTGTGTCATTGCTCTCCGTCTTCCTGCCCTTCTTGAGATCAATGAAAGAATGCCTCACTTGAGCGATCGGCTTGCCATCCAGGGACACAAACCATGCTCTTGGGTGGGGAGACTGTTTCCCTTTGGAAAGCTCCAGCAAGGTTTGCTCCGAGATGCCTTGAAGTTCAGAGGAAAACGGCGTCATTACCACCGCTTCGTTTAGTGTCCCTGGGACAGAAACAGATTCTAGTAAGCTATTGGTGTAACGTCCCCAGTTGGCACCTTGAGGAGACAGGCCCTGCTGCCTGTCTAAAGCCGTTGATTCCTCTCTGGAGGTTGGCACCTGCAGGTGAGAGTGACCTGGCATTTTGGGCAGTGTTTGGGTGTAACTCTCTCGACTCATGGGCTCCATCATCGGGCTATAAACTAACTGCCCTTTTCTTGGCAAAGTAGCAGACTTGGCAGCATGCAGTTGCTCCTGGGAATGGAAAAGGTCTGCTGTCTGAAGGATGGCAATAGGCTGGCCATACAGGTGTATCAATTGTTCTGGCATGGGAGAGAGCTCGTACATTTCTTCGTTCATTGGGAGATAGTTGTTCTGTTCCTGTGAGTCTCTAGATGGGGGGACACTTCTACTGATGTGTTGGGCTGGCTGTAAAGGCCTCCCCTCAATGTGAGGTTCTAGAGACTGGGGCGGCTTCCCACAGTGATTATTCTTGATGGAGGAAGGATAGGAAGACCCTTCAGTATAGATTTTAAGGCTGTCACGAGCTTTCCTCTCCTCTCCTTCTGCTGAAGTCCCCCTCTGAGGGCTGTAAGACGCTAATCCCGGTGAATACAACTGAGATTTGTCCTCTGGCTTCAGCGACACCTTGGCAATGCCTAGGTGGTTGATGTGAGTTGTTGATGTTGTCTGGTCCTTTCTTAAGGTGTCTGGTTTAGTTGCAGTTCTCCTCTTCTTTTTTGACTGACCACACTTATCCCTAAGAAAGAAGGGGAGAACAAGGAAGGCTGAAAATTCACCTTGCACATTATTTGAAACTCTGGATGCAGTTATGCATTAAATGGAATATGCCTGCTTTCAGGATTTCAGTCTATATACACCAAGCCTACGTTTTATTTGGGACCTTACCAAATGATGCCTGTGTATCTGCATATATTTTACCTCTACAGAAAACAAACTTCACAGAAAACAGGAAAAGCACAGAAAACTCCTTAAGATCGTAAGAGGAGCTTTGCTTGACCAGACCAAAGACACATCTAGTCCATCATCCTTGTTTTCCACAATGACCCACAAGCATCCCAAAAGCAGGGCAAAAGCCCAAAAGCAGCCATCTGCTCATGCTATCTAGTACCTTGTACCGAGAGACATTCTGATTTTGATAGCAGAGGTATTACATAGCCACCAAGACAAGTAGCTAGTAAGAACTGTATCCTCCATTGAATACATCTAACTTCCTCTGCTCATGGCCCAAGGGGCATGCACAGGTCATAGTTTAATTATCTTTCAAGCTGCACACCAATTCCAACACTTTAACTACTAAGGAACAAATGCATCTAGGCATGCCAGAATTGGCTAACACCGCCACCTTACCTGCAGTAGCAAAGGAGAACTGCAAAGAACCCAATGATGATGATGATGGTGCCTCCCAATATGGCTGTGAGGAACACTGTGTGATATGCAGTTATATCCTGAGTAACCACTGCAATGATGGAGTCTGTATTTTTCATAATTTGGGGGAAGGAGAGAAAGAAAGAGAACATGATTTTGTACGCCATGCCATAATAGTATTATCTTTCTCCTACTTCTGCAATACAGAAAGGTTTTTCTAATGTTTTACTTATTCTGGTCATTTTTTCACACTCTACCCCATGTCACTTAATAGACAACTGGGGCTGTGCTGGCTAATTCTATTCCTCCCTGCCAATACCACACATGTGACATCAACCCCTGCTCCCAGTACCTATTTCCACAGGAAGACAAGTACAGTACTGGTGAAAAGAGTATCAATAATCCAGCAGAAACAGAGAAGGTGTTAAGGACCCTTTTAAACAGAAGGGAAAAGGTAATAATGTAGCAGCTTGGTTCATGGTTACAAATGTCTCTATACTAATGCACAGAGCACAGGAAACAAATATGATGAGCTTGAACTCTTTACACAGAAGGTAAAAGTTCCCCTTGACAATTTGTCCAGTCGTGTCCGACTCTAGGGGGCGATGCTCATCCCCGTCTCCAACTCATAGAGCCTGCATTTGTCCAAAGACAATCTTCCGTGGTCACGTGGCCAGCATGACTAGACACGGAACGCCGTCACCGTCCCACCATGGTGGTACCTATTTATCTACTTGCATTTTGCATGCTTTCAAACCGCTAGGTTGGCGGGAGCTGGGACAAGTGACGGGGGCTCACTCCGTCGCGTGGATTTGATGTTACGACTGCTGGTCTTCTGACCTTGCAGCACAGAGGCTTCTGTGGTTTAACCCGCAGTGCCACCATGTCCCTTTACACAGAAAGGTGAATATAATTCAACAGGCATTACATAAACCTAGTAAATGGGTACAAACAGGGAAGTGAACAGCAAAAGAAAAAAAGAAGGGAGGTTGGTTGACTGGTTTATTTTTATGAATATTAAATTGGTCTAGAACTTCTCCCACCCTAGGGTGTCCCAGGTGTACTTGAGCTGCAACTCCCAGAAATCCCAGCCAGCACGGCTGGTGATGAAGGGTTCTGGGAACTGCAGTCCATGAACATACATATGGGTTACTCAAGGTTGGGAACCACTGCTCTACAAAAACAAAGACTTGTTCCTTTTCCTGAAGGAGTACTGTATAAAAAACAGCATGTATTCCCAGCTGATCGTAATATATAACAAGACATTTACAACATTTAATTAAAGAAAAATGCGAACATTTAGGGCAGCAATATGTGGCATAGTTGTCTCTCTTCCTCTGCTTTCCAGAGAGATGCCCCTCTTTGAGAAAGAATTTTTTACTCCAGGGCGAGTACACTGTTCTTGTCTTCTAGAAAAATTCTAGGCACACACTGATGCTACTGCACACTTAATTTTGAAATACCTCAGCTGCTGTGAAACCCATTTTTATTATGTGGCAAAGTAACATGCAGCCTTTCTTATGTGTTTAAGAAACAAGCCCCAAATTATCAGGAGAATGAAATTATAATCTGAAATAAATCTAGGAATGAACTCTTCTTCTCCACATTCTGATCTTCATGTCACACAGAATGACTGCTAAAAAAACAACAGTCAGTAAAGCAGATTCCAAATTATCTCACGATTCCATGATATACCTCTGGAGCCAGGCAGAGGAGCAGCTATCCAGTAGCCCAGGCTTGGAGCTGTGTATGTCCACACTAGATGGTCACCAGCATCTTTCACCATCCCCAGCCCACGATTTACCCAAGCACCTGGGAGAGGAGAAGAAGGAAAAAAAACTGGAGGGTCAAATGGATTCAACTCAGAAAGAACCAAAGTAATCCAACACAAAACCCTGCAGTCTTCCGATGTGCACATGGTGTTCTTGGCTGGCCGAGACTAATTCCTGTCTCATTCAACTTCCTGTTTTTAACAGCAGATTGAGAGAGACCTCTGCATTAATGTTCATCTCCAGCATCTGGTGCTCAGAGCGGTACTCCTCAGAACATGGAGGGTCTATTTCAGTTTTAGATCTTAAGCATGATTAAGAAAACAGATTGGCTTCCAAAGGATGGAGGTCAATATAAGTGAGACAGTGAGCCTCAGGTATGCTTTTTTAACAAAAGTAAATACATGAAGCCTCCTATCTAGGTATACTGGTGTAGCACAAAACATCAGTTAAGCACAATTCACTTTGTGACATGAATTGCCCCAAGCTAAGAAATTCCTGTAGACATTGTTAGTTGCATACAGAGTTGTGTGGCTCAGATTGCAACTGATCTTTATTGTGATTTCTTATTTGTGGGCAACTTGCCTCCAAATGCCGTACCATTTGTGCAAGATATGTAAGAGAATTTTGACCACTGTCTGATACTGGAAGTGTCTTGGATGTTGTGGCATCATCTGTGTATGCATTCAACAGGAATCTTCAATCCACTGTGCTTGACTGATTGCCTGACCTAAGAGAGGACCGAGAGGACCTACCATTTTTCATATCAAAGGTCCATGCTGGAATGGCGTCTCCAGCTTCTACAGCACTCGTAGGCAAAATAGGTAATGTTATATGAATGGGCCCCTCCACTTCCAGTTCTTTCCCAGCCGAAAGCAGGTTCACACATATTGCAGCAAGAGGGGTTAATTCAATACTTTTGAAACCTATAAGTATTAAAATAAAATAAAATAAAAGTGTTTTAGTTTCTTTCCTTCCTGATAAATAACAGTAATAACAACAATAGCTGCTATTCTGTTTCCTGAAATTTCAAAAATCAGTGATTTTGCATACATGTCATTTCACCCAGAAAGCAGCCTCACACTAAGGGTGAGAGTCAGATCACTGGTCCACCCAACACTTTACTGTAGGCAATGATGGAATACACCCACCTTATGGGATTTCAGACAAGGATCTTTTTAAAAAGCATGTGTTTCACATTTTAACTGGATAAAACTGTCTACAAAAATTGGAATGGTGCCTGTATTATTGCACTTATATTGGAATAGATCCATAATCACGAGCCTACTGAACGTAACACAGAAATTAATTAATTAGGCATAACCTTTACTTTCTTTTCACTTGTAAATAGGCACATGGGACAGGGCCTCAGTTCTGGGTCATATCCAACACACAAAAGACGATTAAAACTTTTCCCCACAGCTGACCACAACCTCAAATATGCCCTCTCATGGGGCATAAAAGAAAAAAGAAGTTCATTTACACCAGTGTAGTTCCCCACAATACACAAAATGAGATATAGTAGCACTCCCCCCCCCCCAAAAAAAAGCACACAGTAATCTTCAAAGGCTAGGTTCTCCAATCCAACTCTATCAGCTTTGATTCTTTATGTACCTTCCTAGTAGCTAAGTATCATTACAGGTAACGGTATTTCCCTGCATATGATTGTTCTGCTAGTCAGCTCTCCAATATTCAATAAACACAGGTATAAGTCAAACACAGGCAACCTCCCCCTCCCCCCCCAAAAAATGCCTTGGATAGCATCAAGTTGCAAAAAGAAGAGAAAAGAAGAGAGTAAGAAACGGGAAAAAAGAGAGGGAGGAAAAGGAAAGAAAGAAAGAAAAGCAGACCTTCACTAATCTGCATGTTTCCCTGCAGGTTAAGAAAACTGAGTATTTTTAAAATATTAACTTAACTGACTGAAGTTAATGTTAACAAGCTAAGAGGCTCCTGTAATTAACTTGCTCTTGTAAAAATGCAAAGCTCCCCGCCCCAGCCTTCAAAATGTTGTAAAAAGCCCTCAGCCTTGTGGAGTGATGCTGCACAATAACATATGTTCCTCTCACATCCTATAATATTGCAAAGTCTGTGCACAATGAGTAACGTCTGTATACCCTGCAGGGGGATGACGATGAGAGAGAAAGGTTGCCAAAGAAAAGATAAAGACATAATTTTGACATATGATAAACCTTTCTTCAGATTTGCAGATCATCGGATGGGGGTGCAAAGAAAATTGTCCAATTTCATGTATTAATTACCTTCTACCTGGCCCTCGGATAAAGCTCGTTTTCTCATGAACACATAAATGATTCAAAAGAACACATCAGAGAGATTTCATGAGAGTGAAGGGGAAGAAAAGAAAGCTGCTTGGTTGGCTTATTCTAAAAATGAAGAGGTTCAGATATGCATTGTTCTGAGGAGGCGCAGAATTAACCCATTTCTGTGCATTCACTGAGACCACGAAGAAGAACAGGGAGCAACACTTATGCAAACATGGACACACGAGTCAAAAGGCTGATATTAGCACTTATTTTGTGACTGTGCAAGTGCTGGTCATTAATGAATCTGATATTCTATGGATGATGTGTCACATAAAACTGATGGAAGACAAGCGCAAGTGCACAGAAATTTTAATGAAAACAAAACTGATTTAACATAGACTATTTCATATTAATTACATTTCTTGTTCTTTATGTTATTTACCTGGTGTTTTAAAATTTGTGAGAACTTTCACAATGGTCTTGAAGCCAAACAAAAAGAAATCCTCAAAATTCTACCACTTGCTGTCCAACACAATGGAAAGCAACAGAAGGAGGGAGCATTTCACTTCCTCTCCCCTATACCCTCTTGCAGCAATCTCAAGGCTACAAAATCAACCAACAACCAAGCTGTACAAATGTTTCCAAGCAATGGAATGTGTCACGCAATGTATACGCAACTCCATCTCTAGGAGCTGGGCCTATTAAATCTAGTGGCAAAATTTTTTACTGTGATATTGAAAAAAATATCAAGTGGAATAATCCTATCTCAAAGATGTAGGAGTTTGGAAATAGCAGAAATCCCCTTGATCAATATTTTATCCACCTTTATTCACCTACAATAATGTGATTTTGTAGGCTAAACTTCTGCCTACAGGCCCTAGAGAAATCCTGTTCGGATCTCTAAGGGACTAGGGATTTACTGCCAGCGTATGAGTTTTAGAAGAACATGGGGAGGGTATGTGGAAAGAATTATAAATATTCAGGAGCTGATAGTGATTCTGACATACCTGATTTATTTAAAAGAATTCCCATTGTGTAAAGGAAATGTTCCACCTTCAAAAACTGCTGTGGTACAGTCAGATAGGCTGTTACATTTGTGATATGGTGGGTGATAGGAAGTTTAATTAAGTATTTTGGAAACTGAACACTTGGTTGAGATTTGGCATCTGAAAGAGAGGGGGAAAAAAACCTAAGTCAGCAATTCAGAAATGTTTCATTCACATAATCAGCAGAATTATTCAAAAAGCTCATGTTCAAACAAGCAATATTTTGTTTCCACACCTATCAAACATTCATATTCACAAATATTCAAGTAACATGGTGAATTTTTAAAAGATAATTATCTAAAAAATGACAAGAGTCATCTAATGAAAACCATGTACAAGGTCTATGATAATAAAACCAACACAGATAAAAATAATTTCTGATTGCTTAACTAAGATTATAAGACCAGAATGGGTCATGAGCTGATGCTCTCACTCCCAGAATTCCCTCTCTCTTCTCTCGTCAACCTTCACCACAGTCCAGATTGCTGATTTACAACCATACTTGAAGAGTGATTTGAAGTCAATTTACAAAAAACAGTCTGGCTAGCATTGATACAGCTATGAAGTTGCACCATAGTAAATAACAGTTGGGAAAGAGAGACAGCATCCGTGCAAGCCGGCAGGCAAACAAGAGGAGACCATGTCTTACCTGCGATTTTACCCATGAAAAGAACATGCTGTCTGGACAACCAACTGCCATTGGACCATTGCATCACCTCCATTCCACCAAATACATCAACAAGAAAACCAGTGTCTTGACATCATTAGGATATCTCTAAACAGCCTTTGTTTTATCTGCATTGTTAATATGCTCTCACTCTTCTCCCGCACCCATACCGTTCCCCTTAAAGGAAGGCTACATAACAAGACCTGCGGGGGAAGGCAGCAGGGGTCTAGGTCTATGTATATATACTCCACAATGAAATAAAAGGATATGAAATCAAAGAACTGTTCCTTGGAATTTGTAAACAAGACCCACTTTTCGTGCCACTTTCTCCTCTTTCTCTTGTGAACTGTGAAAATGGGCAGGTAGGGACAGAAGGAAAGAAGGCAGCTCCACTGTTGATCAGAAATAGATGGAAGTGAATGACAAAACAGTAGGAAACCAGGAGGGAAACAAGCTCATCTTTGTGTTTTGGTGTGTTTTTTTTCTGTGTCTGTATAGAGTGAACAGGGAAGGGACATAAGCTATTTACCTTGTTCCATTAAAGCAGCCCAGCATAATCCTACTTCCATACAAAGGAGCTTAAAACGCTAAAAAAGAAATTAACTTGTAACATCCACATGCAGTCAAGATCCAGACCAGATAAGAATGAATTCCCATGACTACTGCAAAATGAGAAAGAAGCAATCTACGAAGTCAACACTCAGACCCGTTTCTAGAGCAACAAACCACATGAGAAAGCAACATTTGCACGGACAGAGTTCTGATTCCTGTCCTCTGAAGATGCCGGCCACAGAGACTGGCGAAACGTCAGGAAGAACAACCTTCAGAACACGGCCAAAGAGCCCGAAAAACCCACAACAACCATCAGATCCCAGCCGTGAAAGCCTTCGAGAATACATCTGTTCAACACTTCCTCTTCCCAAAACGTTTCCTGAAGACCTTTTCTTTATGTGCAAGTTCTCAAAAGAGGGTCAACTCTCATAACTGTTTGTCTCCATTACCCATGGCAGTCTAAGAGTGCCGGGGGTACAAGGAGTGCTATTCTCCTGCACTCTCTGGTTCTCTCCTTCTTTCTTGGCTTCTTGTTACAATCCCTGGATGGTTCTCCATGGGTTCCACAGAGACCTAGGCTGTCTTTAGAAAGAAATCAAAACTCTGAAACCATCACATTTGCAACAATCTGCGGAAGAAATCTTGCTTGATGGAAACACATGCCCATCTCCTTCTCATAATTAAATATATAGCAAAACTGTCACACATCCATTTCAGTATAACATATTACCTCGAAGGAAAATATGTTATAGCCTTGTCTATTTATTGCTCCTACTTACCAGATAGTTTCCCAGTAATTAAAATTGTATCCTCAAAGAGCCATATATTGGCCTGGCTTTGGGGGAACAGCGAAAGTGTAACAGATGAATATACTGTGGGAAACAAAGCATTAAGAATACATTACTACACAGAGATGCATTGGAAATGAAGGCTAGAAAGAATTAAGTTCCCGTGAACGGTTAAAAATGTAGGGTGCAATCAAATGAAACTTTCATCTGGGAAAAAGGTTTATTGGCCCAAATCCTAGAATGATGGAGTTAGAAGGTCATAACCCTCTTGTTCAAGGCAGGAATCCAAGTCAAAGCAGATCTGACAGATGTTTGTCCAATGTTCTTTTGAATGCCTCCAGCGCTAGAGCATTCCTCCTATTGTATAAATTTATGCCTGCATAATTTATGCTCTTTTGACCTGGGGAAGTCTTTAGGAGCCTCCAGAGAGACCGGGGGGGAGACTGTAACGCCCAAGTCACTGCTGATGGTGTCAAACCCATGATAAACTGTAGTACAGTAGGCCCACTGAATCAATAGGGATTTTCTGAGTCAACTCTTCTATAAGTTCCCTTGATTCAAATGAGCCTACTCATTTGAATACTGTGATTTCCTTTAGCACAATAAGTTGCAGCTACCGTGTCTCCCCGAAAATAAGACAGGGTCTTATATTAATTTTTGCTCCAAAAAACGCAGTAGAGCTTATTTTCAGGGGATGTTTTATTTTTTTCATGTACAACCATTTATTCAAATACAGCCATGTCATCTTCTTCTTGTTGCAGACTCACAAAATTTTGCTGGCTTAGGCCACTGAGAACTGAAAGCCAAAACATCCAGGGTGGAGCACCCGTTTGGGGAAACCTGGTTTGCTGTTATGGGCCATTATATACGCAAAAACAACAAAACTGGAAAATTGCTGTAGGGATTTCCAGAACATTGTGCTCATCCACAGATTTCTTCTGACGTGGTACCGGAACCTTTTATTAATTATTAGAATCATTCAATCTATAAGTTTAATTCTACACCTAAACTGTTCTCTTTTTTTCAGCCTTGTTACTTTATAAAAACGATTTGGAAAAACAGAAGGCATTTTTTTTCCTTTCACTTCTATTCCTTTTCTTTTTAAGGACACACAGCATTTAACATACAGTAGCAACAGGGATACAAATGCAAAGGTTCTAAGCAGAAGCCCAGGAAGAGAACTGCAACTTTCCACATAACCTTGGCTAATGTCACTTACATTCCTCCTACTGTTCAAAATGCTGAAGAGGTTTTCACTGCATGTACTGGGAAAAGATCTTTGGTAATTAAAATCATCCAATGGATCCATTTCATGTCTTTTCCAAGACAATGGCATTTACCTTTCCTGATGCAGCTAAACATGACCTACTTTGGGCATATTTATTAAGTCGTAATCATTTGGTGACAATCAGATGGATTACTACCCAAGGGAAGAAAGGCAGTTCAAGTGTACTCGGTTTTAAAGG